TTTTTATAGAGAGAGATCTTAGTATTTCAATATTATAGTTATTGTATTGACAATCTTAGCTTTTAGTGATCTTTTATGTCTTATAAGTTTCAGCTTTGTTGTTGAAATGGGTGTAATTTTTCCTTATTATATTTTATGCTGGTCTATGATTAAAGTAAGGATTTAACTGACTGATTGATATGGCACTATTGTATTGTATGCTATGATTACCATGCAATTAACATTAAGAAGTGAAAGTTGTGTATATAGTGAATAACCATAAAAAACATCACCTGGTTTAGAGCACTTTAAAACATGTCTGCATTACTAAATTTGAAACATTTGCAAAACACACTCTCCATATAAACCTAACTTCAATTAAGATGACTAAAATGACACTGGCTTCCTACATATATTCATTCATTCAACCATAACTGTCTGCAGAATAAAAAAAACTTCATTTGTGAGGTTGTTGACCCTGATAATGTAAGTTTCAAGGCTTATGCTAAAGTCAAAACATACCACACTATAAAGGGTTTCCCTTACCAAACAGCTGCACAGAAATCACAACTGTCTGCAGAAACCAAACATTACTTGAATAATGCTCCAAGGCAGGGGTGTCAAACTGCAGGCCTGCAAGCCAGTTGCAACATATGGAGGCCTCGCCCACCCCAGCTCCGGCAATGCAAAAAAAGTCGTGATGCGTCGCAACATGTCACATGACGCGGCGAGTTTGACACCCATGCTATAAGGAGTAGGACTCATTGTGTATGCTCATCTAGTGAGTATTCTAGATTTACTAATGAAGGATCAAATCTTATTTTGACTTAGCATTTAGAATCCCGGCAAATCATGTAAAGTTTATTGCAAAAATGCTTAATTTCTTTTTCTGAAATCCATGTTTCTTTCAACAGTACATGCTTCCATCTTTCAGTACATTTGAGAAAATTTCTTGTTTAACGTTTTCCTTAATTAAAGCCAAACAGATGGGTACATAGCCTATTAAATTTCACCTACAAATACTTTTTTCATGTACCATGTTTCCCCGAAAATAAGACCCACCCAGAAAATAAGCTCTAGCATGATTTTTAGCGTGTGCCTACTATAAGCCCTACCCCAAAAATAACCCCCCACTCCGTCCCACCGTCTGATTGCTCGTTGCTGCAATGGGGCTGGAGGCTGTACAGCGTGGCCACTGCCACAGGTTGAGACAAGGCAAGTGGGGGGGGTGGAGCTGCCCCACGCATCCTGCACCTGCATATCTCAGGGCCCCCACAGCCAGGCCATTCGCCTCTTCAGTGACTTTCCTCCACCCGTTCAATAAACCGGCTGCCCACCGGCCTCTTCCCTTTCACTCCCTCCCAAGCTGGACTGCCATACTACGGAGGATGGGCAGGGGAGGCTCGTCGCCTTACCCGGTCCTCCTCCGCTGTTTTGGAACCAGGGGGAGGTTAAGGTGAAAGGCCGCCACTGCTGCAGAGTATAACTAGCCTTTCTTGTTATACCAAAGTCAATTTTCTTTTGGTTGTTGTTTTTTTCCAGTAAGAAAATCCTGTACTTTATTTTGCATTTCTTCTTACATTTTCATATACGTCTTTTCAAAGAAAGGTTAAGGTTAGGCTTAGGCTTAGCCTAACCCTAACTCTAACCCTAACCCTAATCCTTTTCATGACTCTCTTCATACTTTGCCTAAATAGTTCTTGTTATTCTGCATAATGCCTAGGTATTATATACAACGCCTAGGAAAAATATATGACATATTAAAATAACACAGAAATTTTATATTTTGCATGAAAACATCACATATTCTATAGATCCCAGCTTTTCACACATTGTGAACATATATATTGGATTATGAAATTTTTGAATCCCCCATATATTTCCATTTTATGCATTGTAAATTCCTTCCTTCCTTTCACAAACAATTTTTTCATCAGAGCATCCAACCAACACACACATACCACAAACACAAAACAAGCAGTACAAAATGTTGGACTGTGTACATATAAAATTAAGACTCATTAGATTGAACATTACTGCATCTCACTGAGACTCATGTGATTTGACTAAACTATTTCTCACTATTTTTAAAATAAAGTTTTGTTAAACTCTGAATAAATTAAAGCTTCACTACTTTTCCTTTCCCTTCTCTCTTTAACAAATATAGTCAATTTTCAATCTACTTTAAAATAACATTAAGTCTTTTTTTGTGATCGTTGTTAAGAGTAATATAATACCTGGTGATTTCTTCTTTTAGTCTGCATGGATCTTCTGCATAGTATTTAACACCAAAATACAATGTGTAAGGTGGACCAGCTATTAGAAATAAGAGAACTATATAAAATTAAATGCATAAGCATACAATTTATATCTGGACATGCTTTGAAAACATTTTCTTTGGCACCTTATTGAGTCAAGCATTCACCTGCTCACCTGTAATTTTAGTTACAGGTAAGCTATTAAATTATCTTCCCATTTATTCTTAGAAACTATTCAAAATCCATTAGTATTGGGGTGGTGCTCCAATTAATTTTCTGATATTAAAATTGTAATAATATATACAAGCATGTAGAATTGATACAGCTGTAATATCCCCTGAATTTGTTTTGGCAGGAATCATAAGCTATCAAGAAAAAAGCTACCAGAAAAAAAAGGAACAGGATTAAAATAAAAATATTTGTACATAGGTGGAAAAATAAATTTTAGCACTCAAATCAGTATGATGCTCAATTTTGAGATTGATCAATATTTCTACATACAAAATAAGCAGAATAATTTGTGTCAGATTTCTCAAAAAGATCGGCTTTGCAGATGTATTTTCTAAGCCTCTCTGTCACTAAGCAATATTTATAAAGTTCAAATTATATACATACTATTTATGAGTTCCTTATGCTCTGCAATAGTCTTTGTAGGATCCAGCCAGAACTGTAATTATATAAAGAAAGAGTTAAGTTATTAAAAATACACATCAACATATATGCCACTTACAATACAAGACTTTAAGGATTTTGCCATAGACAAAATAAAACAAAACATTATACAAACTCTTTCTATAATTTATACGGATAGTTTTTCCCATCACTCTAATACTGTTGGAGAGATTGGGGAGGATTAAGTTTGCAAAATATGTGTTTTAAGATTAAAAAAATAATGCACCTATTCTGCCCATGCTAAAAATATAAAAAATTGCATACCAAAATGAATAATGTCAATAACATGTGGGAGGGACTCTAAGGGAACTAAAGTAAAGGCTATAAGGCCATATGCAGATGATGATTGATCTTCTCTAATCTATATTTTTATGTGAAAAACACTTAGTTGTCATTGATGACTATTGGTAACCAAACTGTCACTAGCCAGTTTGGTCCAATAATTAAGGCACTATGCTAGAAAACAGGAGACTGTGAGTTCAAGTCTCATCTTAGCCAGCTGGTGAATTAAACTAATCACTCTTCTGTCAGCCCAACCCATGTCACTGGGTTGCTGCTGTTGTGGGAAAACTGGAAGGAGGAGTTGTGATGGATATGTTTTCCATCTTGAGTTATTTGTAAAAATAATAAAGGTGGAATACAAATAAATAAATGTTCTCCAGATATGAAGCACATCTGCACACATTATGTGTCACCTCGTTAGATTCAACCTTTCTCGGCCTAGTGAGTGCCTGCTAAACTACAACTTTCATTAACTTTCATCAGTTTGTCCTCTATACAGTATTTTGTGTCTTAATATTTATTAGGGTTGCCCGAGAACTGAACAGTACATATGATTATTTAAAAAATACAGAAAAATAAGTTATATGAATAATTGATACAGTATTTTTAACATAAACTATAATTAGAGTAGTTCCAACCTTACTTCCCCATTGCTTTCTGACAATAGTATTTTAGGGATACTAAAATAATCTGTCTACTCAAGTTCATTTGTATCAACTCATGGATAATAAAATAAACTACGATATTGCTAAATCAGTAAAGAGTTAAACAGAATTAAAATTGCCAGTTGTTCTTGAATGAGAACATATAATATTTTTATTACCCTGTATAACAAACAAGCCAAAAAAAATCCCACTCAAAAAGAAAATATGGTCTGAAAATACGTAGAGTTGAAATATTTCAAACAAATCAACAAAATTAAAAATACAAATTAGCAGCTTAATATTTGCTACTACATTATTTCATCCATTTTGTAAGTATATGCACAGGTACATCTGTAAAAGCCAAGTATTTTTCTGTATAATTGTTTCTTAAAGTTACATGGAAATCTTAGAAATTATATTAGAAAATACATCATTATTAGAAAATTAGTAAAATGTACTACAATCCCCATATTGATTGAAACCAAGCCAAAAATTTAGAAGAGATATAGTTTACAGCAAGACATTGATCAAAAAAGATATTTGAGCTCTTTCCTGTATCAAATTGCAGATTCCAAGCATACCGTTTAAATACATATGAATATACATTTTGTTTCAGGCAAATAATACATAAATTAGATGCCAAATCATTAGAGAGCTCAGTCAAGAGAAGAAACATGAAAGAACATGCCTCTCAAACAAATATTCAAGCTTACCAAAATACATTTATCAACACTGCAGCTTCAATAAGGCATTTCTGTATAATTTGTATGAGCAACTGCAGGCCTATCTATATCATATACAGAATCCTAACACAGATTTCTATTCTCAGCAAGAAAACAGGCAGATCATATTCCATACCGATTATTTTAAACAGAGCTTAGGTTGTCACTTCAGTAAACAAAGTTGAAATCAAATAAGAGTACCAAAAATAAGAGACAAAGTATAGCTAGTAAACCAGATTCATTTGACCAAAATGTTGGATGATTTTTCTAGCAGAAGAATCTATAATTGATCAGATTATGAATCTGACCATACTCATTTTTATCCTGTTGGTGTCATAAAGGGTAGATTTCCAGTATTACTCCTTATTCCCAACAGATGTTTGGGACTTTTCTGCACTGCATCTTTAAGCTACTTGAGATGGAAAGGACTTAAGAGATCTCTTCTTTTAAAAAAAATTCCTATTGTTTTACCATTTTTCTTATCATTTGTGTTCAAAAGTGGCAGAAATATTGTCAATTTCACCAAGTTTTTAAAAACTCCACTGTTTCAAAACATCATCAGTGAAAATGTAAAAAAGAAAAAGAAAAGGAAGGAAAATAAAATTCAGTTTAATCATGTTTTTTTATATTTAGCCTGGAAGAAGGAACTGGCAGAATTCTTGTCAATTTCACATGGTTAAAGAAAAAAAGCTAGGTCCACCATTTCATTTTTTTAAATCAGGAGATGTGTACAAAAAGGCTTGGCATTTCACTTTTGCACAGTGAGTTTATTTAAAAATAAAAGCAAAGAAACTCCAGCATTTCATCAGTGCATCAGGAATAAAAAGAAAACAAGCATACAAACATAGATTCACGTATCAAAGTTCCTTCAGAAGAGAGCAGGCAGCCCAAGGTTCAACACAAATTGGCCATAGAAGAAAGCAACCAGTCATTGGAGCAGATGGGTTGTTCTTGCCACAGAGAACAGTATTGGACATATTTGCTTACTATGAAATGAAGTATAAGGGGTAAACTGAACACCATCATTTGTGCCAGCTCAAGCATATTACACTTGATGTGTAGCAGAAAAAAATTCCTTCCTGATTCATTGGAGGGGGGAGCATAGAAGACAATACTGCACATGGGCATGGTTAGTCCAGTGAAGAGAAGGACCAGGGGAGACATGATAGCAGTGTTCCAATATTTGAGGGGCTGTCACAGAGAGGAGGGGTCAAGCTATTTTCCAAGGCGCCTGAAGGAAGGACAAGAAGCAACGGGTGGAAACTAATCAAGGAGAGATTCAACTTAGAAATAAGGAAAATTTTTCTGATAGTGAGAACAATCAACGCCTTCAGAAGTTGTGGGAGCTTCATCACTGGAAGCTTTCAAGAAGACACTGGACTGCCATCTGTCAGAAAAGGTGGAAGGTCTCCTGCTTGGGTGGAGGGTGTCAAACTGCCGGCCCATGGGCGGGATGCATCACACAGAAGCTGCGCCCACCCCAGCTCTGGCAAAGGGGAAAAAACTGTGATATGTCACATGTCACATGACGCGGCGAGTTTGACACCCCTGACCTATAAGGTCCCTTCCAACTCTGTTATTCTATTCTATTCTATTCTATTCTATTCTATTCTATTCTATTCTATTCTATTCTATTCTATTCTACCGTACCCTACCCTAGTCTCCAAACCACCTGAAGGCAGGACGCGCCCTCAAGACATGGCTTTTCCAACAAGCGGGCCTGGCCTAGGGAGGATTTTTAAACTGGGTTTTTTAGAAATTTTAATTATCACAACACAAAAATTTTGGTTTTAATTTGGTTTTATTCGGTGGAGTGTGTGGGTCTTTCTTTGTTTTAATAATGTTGTGAGCCGCCCTGAGTCCTTCGGGAGAAGGGCGGGATATAAATTGGAATAATAATAATAATAATAATAACAGGTGGAAACTAATCAAGGAGAGAAGTAACCTGGAACTAAGGAGGAATTTCCTAAGAGTGAGAATAATCAACCAGTGGAACAAACTGCCTTTGGAAGTTGTGGATGATCTATCATTGGAGGCTTTTAAGAACAGACTGGCAGCCATTTATCAGAAATAGTATAGATGTCCTGTGAGAGCAGGTGGTTGGGCTAGATGACCTCCAAGGTCCCTTCTAACTCTGTTACTGTTATATGCCTGCCCTTGAAAAATGCTTATTAGTCTAAACCACCACTGGACCCACTGATCAGATGAATTAGATCTAAGACTCATCTGTCCCTATGCAATATCAATTATTTATTTATTATATTTGCTTGCCATCCATCTTCCCGCGAGATGATTCTGGGTGGCTTATAACAGTTAAAGCAATAAAACCATACAGACCTATATATCTAACTGCAATAAAAATACAAATTATGACCCTTTTTCCCCAGTCAATAAAAATTGTTCAATATGTTGAAAACATGGAAATGTCCAACATTTCAGTTTCTCACTTTACCCATTATATCAAGGCCCAAAGTATATAAAATAGTTCAAACCAATCTTAAAATGGGGTTCTGACAGAAGGAAGACAATAGAGTGTAATGGCATTAAACGTCATAATATTTAATGACATGGAAAATTGTGCAGCAGGCCAGATTTTAATATGTAGGTCAGATTTTAACTTTTTAATATATTTCATGACCAATCCAAATCACTGAAACATTTTATGTTTACACCATAAAATCATCTACTGTAGCTAAAGAGTCATTATTATGATTATTAATTCAAATTTAAATTCAATATATTAAATGTTTATATAAGAGACCTTTTGTTAAATAAAAAAACTTTTATCATCAGTCATAATCAAAATGCCTTTAGTTCTGTCATTTAAATAGTCATAAATACAAACCCTCCTTTCTTTCTCTCCTTGATCTTTTTATAATTTCCATTTTATTTACCCATTAAAGTAGGAAAAGAATATGATTTAATTTGATTCATTGGATTTGGTAAAATGGCTTAGCTCCCAGAAGATTCTGGGCAGCATCCAATAACTCCAATACATAGATTTAAAAAACGTGTTAAAAAACCACATAGCTGCCCAGACCAAACAACACTCCCCAACATGCAAAAACTTAGTAGGATCTCTCTAATTGCAGGCTTGGAATAAAGTCAGATTTTAAGATATTTCCTGAAACCAAAGAGAGTAGGGGCCATGCCTATTCTGAGAGTGTGCTCTTCCTAAAAATACACGCGTCAACAGAGAAAGCATGCACCATTATTGTCTTATCCCCAATAAGACAGTATTTAATTGATGGGACTTGAAACACACCCACTCTGTCTGAAAGCACTGGATGGGCAAAAACAACTCAAATGGCAGTCTCTATACCATGAAGGGCTTTGTAGTATCTTGAACTGCACCCAGGAGTCAACTGGAAACCAGTGCAGCTCATATAGCAATGAAGACACACTGGCATAACAAGAAGCATCTGTTATTGCTTGAATCATTACAATTTGAACCCATTTGAAGCTTCCAGATGGTTTTCAAGGGCCATATAGGTCTTCTTACAAATTTAGAACATAGCTGTATGAAGCCAACATACAAACAGAAATTTGTTTTCTTACTGCCCTATATGGGATTTAAACTAGTTTCAACACAACACACATAAGAGACTACAAGTTACTTCTTATGTGAGCAACATGATATTGCTAAACCTAGCCCATGTTCTCATTAAACTCATTTAGTTACTTCAGTCAACTTAATACTGTTCTTAATCTGCTATATTTATTTAATTCTATTTTGAAATGCAGTCTAAAATTATGCAATAAAAGAATGCATTTAAAACATAAAGTCAGTAAGAAAAAAAGCTGTTTTAGTCGAAGTCATAAAACAATTTTATCCCACAAATTTTCAACTAAACCTTAAAGAAAATATAGCTATTATCCAGTAATACTATCTATCTATCTATCTATCTATCTATCTATCTATCTATCTATCTATCTATCTATCTATCTATCTATCTATCTATCTATCTATCATATATTG